GGTAGGAAAGATCTACACCTAGCCTTCTCGGACAAGGGCGAAAAATCTCGGAGGGCCCGTGTGCAAGTTGCGCACGTTAAAGATCCCTCGGTGGTCTAAAATCGGTAAGAGTAGGCTTCGGCCACCACCCGGGCAAGATTCAAAATTTCCTACCAACTGAAAATATTAGGTGTGTCCGCGCGCTCATATGACATTATGCAGTTGCGAGCGCCGTAAAACACTTTACAAAAAAAAAAAAAAAAAGCAAGCTTTTGGGACCTGTCCCGTGAATTACTGAGTTAAATGTGTTCTCATTCTTTCGTTTCACCCAAGCCACCGCCCTTGGAAAGCTTGAACTGCACGTGACATCAGAGGTCTGGTTGAAGAAAGCGCTGCTGAGTTGTATGAAACCTGCGGGTGGTGAGCAGAGGACATGTCCAAGGAAACTCACACACATGCTGCAGGCTGTGCGCTCTGGGAGAATCTACGACCCTCTTGTCAAGGTGTTTTTTAGAGTCTACTTTTTCCACTTCTTTAAAATTTCATTCTTCTACTTATAGACTGTATACATAAAAGTAAAACTCCTGAGTCAAGAATGAATTTTAAGTGAATCCAAGCCCTTTGCAAAGGTACATATGTGAGGCAGCGTGGTGGAATCAGGCTCTCGTCAAAATAGTCAAAGTGAAGAAACTTGCATTTTTCCGCAGGTTTGTAAATGTTTATCTAATTTTTGTTTTTTTGGTGAAACACCTTTCATGCCCATTAAAGAACTCATTTCTGTGGGGATTTTTCTGAGAGAAAAAAACGTTGATTAAAGGCACGAAACGTAAATTTTCAGTTACCACTGACTCTTAAGCTAAGGAAATAACACATCTTTGGCAGCCATTTTCTCACTAATTTTATTTCTAAAAAAAGGTGACCCCCAACTCCTTCTTTCGCAAATATCTCGACTTGTATTCAAGATAAATGGATATTTTTTCATCCAAATAAAAAAAAGCGAACAAGCTTTAAGATGAATCCAATAGCTCTACATTCCCAAAAATTGACGAGAGCCTGATTCCACTACGCTGCCTCACATTTTTAAAAGAATAGAATCTAATAATAAAGTTTGCATATCCGGATGATGTTTTGGGAATGTTAGCTCACATTGTCAATGCACACCCAAGTCAACTGTTGGGAGGATCTTTGGTTTAGCTGCACAAGAGATGATTTTGGAACTTTAACGACAGTTTGGTAAAATGACTTCTTTCCTATTAGATAATATCACAATAACTCTCTTGTGAAGGTAGAATCGTCTGGTCTCTCTTATCTCGCGCTTTTGCTTGCTGCCATTTACTAGTCTTTCGAGCGTGTGTGTGTGTAATATGCGTGTGTACGTGTGTGCGTGTTTGCGTGTATGTGTGTGTGTGTGGGGGGGGGGGGTTTGTGTGTGTGTGTGTGTGCGTGTGTGCGTGTGTGTGTGCGTGTGTGTGTGTGTGTGTGTGTATGTTTGTATTTTATACTTATAATACTAAGACTAGACTAGAACGACGTTAAAAAGGTATGTAACTTCATTTATCTTTTTTCTTCAAAGGACACGCCGATAGAGATCAATTTTACGGGAAATGGCCGGGAAGTCCGAGCAGAACGGAAGATTTCTCGAGGCGAGACCATCTTCAAGGAACTGCCAGAGATTCTTGACCAGAGCATCTCTTCTCACAAACGCACCGCCTGTGACCGCTGTGGCCGATCACTGGTCAAGCCAGAGGATATATTTTCCAAGGGTCATCTGGCTTGTGCGGAGCTACAAAAAGCCTTCAAACGGTTTTGGCCAAAGAAAACCCCAGTGTCATGTGGCTCGTGTGATCGAGTGGTTTACTGCAGCGACTCATGCCGGCTGGAAGCTTGGGGCAGGTAAATCATTCATGAAGATACGATTAAAATGTAACCTCCTAAGCACCCCGCCCCCGCCCCCCAGTCTTTGTGCACATCAACGATCACAAACAGCTGTCTTCTGCTTCTGTAAACATAGCGCAAGGGCAAACCCTGCCGTGACCCCATGGTGGCATGGACCTGCCTACTTTGTCAAATCACTCTCGTTAAAAAAAAAATAAAAGGCAAAAAAAAGCGGGGGGGGGGGGGGGGAGGGGGGGGGGGGGAGATATCAATTCACTGCTCTTGAAAAATAGAGGGTGGGGGATATGTTGAAGTTTACTTTTATTGAAGATACATGAGGAAAATCAGTACTGGTCTGGTTATCAAATTTTCTTTACTTTTGAAATCCTATATTTAGCCCAGTGCGGACCTAAGACATGGTTTGCACACCCCTTTCAACACGGTAGATTCTTTAAGAGGGTATTTCGACACCCATTTCTGACACGACCAAACTACTTGGGTATAGAGGCATTACAAAAGAAATCTCTGAACAGATTGAGTCTTTGGGGAAGGGGGGTTAGAACGTACGTCGCGGTCCAGCAATCAATTCTAAAAGTGCGCTTTTGTGAGGCATTCAAATGAGAACAATCAAGAAAGAGAAATAGAATCTAGGGTCAATAAAACATTGGCTTGAAAAGACTGCATTTCATTGTTTGATGGACCAGGTTTAATTTGTTTCGTATTTCTTCCATAGTTATCATCGTGCCATCTGCCCGTCTTCACCGGAAACAACTGCAGCCATGTTGTATGACGTCAGAAAGTCCTTCCGGGATGTCATGGCGTCAGACGGCTCTAGCTGGCAAGGCTGGTGGAACAACGAGTTCAGCCCGACGCTCATGGCCAAAGTTTGGGCCTCGATAATGTGTCAAGCAAAGTTATTGGCCGCTTCTGATGGCAGAGAATCTGCTACCAAATCTGATTGGTTTACTGCTGGGTCTCAGTTTGAAAAGTGAGTTATTTTATTGTAGGCCTCGTTCCATCAAGGTTTGTTGCTGAAATTGGTGTTGTGAATGCTGGGAGGGTGACACGGTATGATGCCGTCGGTGGCCTAGTGTTTTGGCTACCCGACTCGTAATCGTGAGGTTGCGGGTTCGGTGGTTGAGCCGTGGGCTCGACGTTGTGTCCTTGGGAAAGGCACTTTACACGAATTTTCTTCACTTCATCCAGGTGGGAATGGGTACCTGGCCATAGACAGCGAAAGATCTTGTCAGTATGTTAGTGTTTTAGCACCTATAAATGGCCGCTTGCACTGTATGCTTCCCAGGAAGTTGAGGCTGTTTCAGAATGCTGTCAGGTCTGCTGGGGGTAATAGTATAGATTTCGAAGCGCATAGAGCTTGCTGTTGAGCAGGGATTTGCGCTATAGAAGTGCTATCTATTATTTATTATCTATTTATGACACTGTCACGTGGGTAGAACAGCTGGAACAGCGAGGTTCAAATCACTGGCAAATAACATCTCAGCAATCCTAATACATACACCATCGTTGTTATGGCAAAATCATATTTAGCCCTTTTTTGTGGTTAGTTTACTAATTTAATTAGACAAAAAAAAGCACTGTCACTTTTTTTTTGTAATCTGGGAGTCAAATCGAATAGTATTTCGAGCCTGTCGATAACGATTATTCAGGATTGCAGAAAAACGACCGTTATCGACATGCGACAGCTGTGGACGGGGTCCGAGTTATGATAATTTACCATAAGACTTCAGAACGTCAACAGAAATAGTTTAATACCTGAAATTTTAATCGCTCGTACCTTTCAATTTAATGTCCATCAAAATTGTTATCTATCTTTAAGATCTTCTTTACAATGATTGAACGTAAACATTCAGCCCAAGGGCGGGTGGGTGGAAACATTTGTAGCAAATGACCGCAAGGAGCAGGTTTTGAGGCTGACTTGTAGCAAACATGACTGACAATGGCTGCTGTGCTCACTATAGGGCGGTCAAAAATTCGTGGTGCAACTTATCCTCAAATATTTCTTTAACGGGAGAATCAATGTCATCCATACTTTGCATAGCAGTTTGTATCAATTTGTCTTAACAAAATCATATTTTTCTAGAATTTAAAAACTTTTCTTCATAAGTTTATATAAAATACTTGAAATCTCGGTCACGCGTAAAATGGTATTGTTCACAGCACTTCCCGCTTCTCACACACATTTTGATTACGCACGGCCTACGTCAAAGCTTATCAAAGACAATTTTTACTTGCAAACTTGTTACAAGAAATTATTGTTATAGTGAACACATTTTTGAACTGATGGCTCTCAAAATATGCGTTCAATTAGCATAATGTTCCGATTAGAAAAACCTGACGGACTTGCTATTAAATAAAAGTTGTATTGCCCCAGCTGTAAACATTTAAAAATCTGTAGAAACAACCGACTTGGATTTTTTTTTTTATTAGTGTATATTATGGAATTTTCTAGAATATAGCTTGCAGGTGTTTACAAAAATGTTGATCTGTTAAGACAAATTGATACAAGTGACTGTGCAAACATTGGAGAACGCATGTTCGATAGTTGAGGAGATATTTGAAAATAAGTCGCACCACGAACTTTGGACCGCATTAAATATGGAACCGCAATGGAAAGGTGGCAGCTAGGGCAGTATCGTGGTTGTTAAAAACACTTAGTACGTGTATATCAAAAGATGAGGAATATCTCAACACACACACACACACACACACACACACACACACACACACACACACACACACACACACACACACACACACTCACGCAGACAGACACAATCACATTCTGACACAAGTTTAGTTTGTTTCTAATAAAAGCTAGGATTAAAAGTATGTTATTACTTCCTTACCCCCAAAGTACAGACTCATTCTCTCGGCACGCGCATATTATGTATACTATACACACTATACACACACACAAACACACATTTTTGCCCACATTACTATTATTCTTTTTTTTTTTTTTTTAATTTGGCCATAAGGTTACTGTTTTCACACAATATTATGCACCTTGTGGTTTACACTCAGAAATCACCCGACGGTTAAAAATCATTGTTATGGAATCCAAAATAAAAACTAAAATCTATTTTAAAAATATCTAAATAAATACATTGAAACTTTGCTTCTTATATTCTACCCTTTCATTCGTCTTGTTTAGTTCTGTACTTGTTTTTCCTTGCAGGTACAGCACCAGTCGCGATGAACCGGTGAAAGAAGTCGTACCCAAAATGTTTGAGCTCCTCAACTGCCATTTCAGACGATGTAAAGTTCTGCATTACGATATAACTGAGAAGAATTTCAACCGGAAGTACCACCAAATCGCGACAAACTACATCACATTCTATGACGCATCCGACCCTTTGCGGAAATTTGTCGATAAAGTGACCACGGACAACAAAATGTACAAAAGGATTGGGAAGTATTTCCACGAACCACTACCCAAAGCTGAGTTTCACGGATTATTCCCCATGGCTTCTTGTCTGAATCACAGCTGCGCTCCGAACGCAATGTTGGAGTGTGTTGACGTTGACGGCCGGCCAGGAATCAGGATTATCGCCACCTCAGACATAGACAACGGGGAGGAGATCCGTATCAGTTACGTGGATTCACGCCTTGAACGTAAAGAAAGACGTCGCAAGTTGTTGAAGTAAGTTGTCCTGCAATATGTTCTAATAAAAGAAATGTTTCGTGTGAAATGTTTGAAGCCCCATGGACAAATGTAGATTATTTTAGAAGGTGAGCTGTCTCGAACTTGACTGTCAGAACCAATACATGGTGAGTGGGATACAACATCTCAGCATAAAGACAAAGATATTGTAGTGGATAGTGGATAGAAACCTTCCCCAAGTAGTAATCGAACTCACACCATTCGTGTACATTGCAAAGAGCCTAGCCTTTACACCACCGACGCCGATTCTGTAATAATATATCTGGCGGCGTCACAATAATATATTAAGTGGAATTCGTTTGTTTTGTTTCTTGTTTTGAGAGTATGAGAGGCTATCCAGTAGATCTAGCGCTGTGATCAGTGTCTGCCCAGGAGTACAACATTTGTAATATTTACTCTCGTGTACTGTCTCTGACTTCCCTTGACCAGTATTGTTGGATGAAATATGTTAAAAAGTTGCTGTGAATGAAATAGTAACGCACGACTGCACCAGCCTCATTATTAATGCCCCCCCCCTTTTCTTTTTGTTTCGCTCCTTCCAGTCTACCTCCCTCTTTCACGTCTCGGATCCCCTCCCTTTTTTATTTTAAAAGAGGGGGGGGGGGGGGGGGGGGGGCAGAAATTTCAAAACAATACAATATTATTTTAGCAATCATTATTTTTTATTATGAGTGTTTTCTTTTCTAATTTTTCAGGCGATTTGGATTCTTATGCCAGTGTTTGAAATGCCAGCACGAGGGGGATTTCCCTGAAGTTTGCACGTACTGTGGGAAAAACGCTGACATCACCGACCGTGAAAGCATCCAAGCCACTGCTTCCGGTGCTAAGACTGTCAACGTCACCGCTACCGTTATTGACAACGTCACCGCTACCGATATTGAGAGTGACAACGTCACCGCTACCGGTACTAAGAGTGACAACGTCACCGCTACCGGTACTGAGAGTGACAACGTCACCGCTACCTGTACTGAGAGTGACAATGTCACCGCTACCTGTACTGAGAGTGACAACATCACTTGTACTGAGAGTGACGACATCACTTGTACTGAGAGTGACAACGTCAGCGCTACCAGTACTGAGAGTGACAACCTCAGCGCTTCTGGTACTGAGAATACCCAAACCTCGAGCCTTACAGAGGATGCAGCGGCTGAGCGTAGAACGCCGGGAGGTGGCGACGCCAAAATCACATCAGCGCTGGCAGCAGGTGCAGATTCAGAGTCAGCGAGTGACACGAGCAGTTGCAGCTTGCAAACAGAAGAACAAGCCTCCATAGAAGGAGAAAGAACAAAATATAAACCGGAAACAAACCAAGAACCGAAAAAAATCGACTCGAAACCAGAGAAACAAATGGACGATTCACAAAAGGGTAGTGCCAACGACAGTGAAACCCGGGCAGCAGAAACGAACTCTACTAACTCTAAATCCGTGAGTGACTCATCGGATGAGGTGAAGACAGCAGCGGTTGGAGTGGAACCTATAATCAGCGACAGTAAAACCCAGGCAGCAGAAACGAACTCTACTAACTCTAAATCCGTGAGTGACTCATCGGATGAGGTGAAGACAGCAGCGGTTGGAGTGGAACCTATAATCAGCGACAGTAAAACCCAGGCAGCAGAAACAAACTCTACTAACTCTAAATCCGTGAGTGACTCATCGGATGAGGTGAAGACAGCAACGGTTGGGGTGGAAGCGGCAAAGAAATTCCCCACCTGTGGTCGATGCAAGAAGGCGTGGTACTGCTCGCAGCGCTGTCAGAAGGAAGCATGGAAGAAGGGGCACAAGAAGATTTGCGTCAAAGTTTGACTCGAAAGATACGGTATTGGTGTCATCGTCATCGTTTTCACGGAAGTTAAGAATACGTTTGGGTCATAATTTGTCTCGAAATCGAAAGACGTGGGCATTTTGTGTCAAAAGTTTGGGGCGAAAGAATGCAACGGGATTTGTGCCAAATTTAGTCTCGTAGATTTCTCTTGTTAATAATTGGTGTCTTATTCTGTTGTTTCTTGCTTTGCATTGTGCGTTAGTCTGTGACAATTGCCATGAAGGCTCGCGAGTCGAGGGAGGGGAGAGAAAGTGAGAAAAGAAGAGAAGAGAGAAAGACAGACAGACAGACAGACAGACAGACAGACAGACAGACAGACAGACAGACAGACAGACAGACAGACAGACAGACAGACAGACAGACAGACAGACAGACAGACAGACAGACAGACGCGTGCGTGCTGTGTTTGTGTAAGTGTGTGTGTGTGTGTGTGTGTGTGTGTGTGTGTGTGTGTGTGTGTGTGTGTGTGTATGTGTCTGTGTGGCGCGCGCGCGTGTGTGCGTGAGTGCGTGCGTGTATGTGTGTGTGTGTGTGTGTGTGTGTGTGTGTGTGTGTGTGTGTGTGTGTGTGTGTGTGTGTGTGTGTGTGTATGTGCGTGTGGTGTTAAACGACTTTGTTCTTCTTCAGTTAACCAAACCAACCTTCCCCGATTGTCCTGATCTGCTTGTGTCTTTCCTTGGAAGTGTGTGTGCACGACCTTTTGTTTATTACTGACTTTGATATATACTATGTGAGGCAGCGTGGTGGAATCAGGCTCTCGTCAAATAATCAAAGTGAAAAAACTTGCATTTTTCCACAGGTTTGTGAATTTTAATCAAATTTTTGTTTTTTGGTTCAACACCTTTCATGCCCATTAAAGAACTCATTTCTGTGTGGATTGTTCTGAAAAACGTTGATTAAAGGCACGAAACATGTAAATTTTCAGTTACCACGGACTCTTAAGCTAAGGAAATAACAAATCTTTGGCAGCCATTTTCTCACTAATTTTATTTCTGAAAAAAGGTGACCCCCACCTCCTTCTTTCGCAAATATCTCGACTTGTATTCAAGATAAATGGATATTTTGGATATTTTTCATCCAAATAAAAAAAAGTGAACAAGCTTTAAGATGAATACAATAGCTCTACATTCCCAAAAATTGACGAGCGCCTGATTCCACCACGCTGCCTCACATATAAGCACACTGTGTTGCTCCCATTTATTTCACCTTTTATCAAGTTTCTGTCTTGATTTGATCTGAAACAAAACGATTTCGCCTGTAACAGTATAAGGTGCTTCCTTATCTCAGATTTATTATGTGCAAGAATAAAGATCCCAAGTACATTGTACTTTACAGGCTTAACAATCTCGTTCTTTTTTATTTCTTCTCAGCGTTCTGACTACAATAAGTGACATGCTTTGCTTTCTATTATTTCTTTCTTTTTTGGTAAGTGTTTTAAGGCGCTCGCAATGCATCTATAAGGTCATATAAGTGTGCCGGACACATTAAACATTTTCAGTTGGTAGGAGATTTTGAATTTTGCCCGGATTGCGGTCGAAGCCTAATCTTACCGATTTTAGGACTATCAAGGGATCTTTTACGTGCGCAACTTGCACACGGTACCTCCGAGATTTTTCACCATATTCCGAAAAGGCTAGATATTAGATGTTACCTACCATAAGATCAACGGTGTGGCAGTAAGACATCAGTTCAAGGAGCCAAGGAGTAGCAGTAGAAAGGCTGCAGAAAGAGCCAGGAGCCCAGAGGAGGGGGGCAAAGGAGGTGAGGGGGGGGATGTGTGGAGGCAGAAAGTGGAGACGAAAGGAGACGACAGATCATTGTTAGAGAGCAGGAAAGGAGACGAAAGAAGAAAATTGCAGAGCAGACAATTTTTCATCTCTGTCCGGATTCGAACCCGAGACCTATTGAATGAGAGGCGAACACCGTAACCTCTCGACCACGAGAGCCCCCTCTTTTTATCTGAATACCACACCAATCCCAGCAGCACAATAATAATTGTATTCAATAAATAATTCGCCGCTCAACGTCTGACAGATACGGTACCAATGCATTTGTAGAGGAGAATAGAATACAATCCGTGCATGTGATGCAAAACAGAAGAAATAAAGATTAAGATGACTTGCGGCTTCTGCTATGGTCAATGAGACCAGTTCTGGCGGAGAAGAGTTTACCACATTTTGAGCATTCAAAACCTTCATTCTCAATGAGGTGATTATGCACCACTTGCGAGCTTCTCTCTCGGCTTCAACATTTCTAATTCGTGAACCCTTATACATGTAGCTCTACAAGTATTCTTGCTGCCCTCTCGGAAAACTACTCTTCAACTGCGTCTGTGACGAGCTAGCCTTTCCCATGTCAAGGGATTAACCCCTTCATTGCTGAGATATTTCCATCTTCATGTTTACAGACAAATTAATAATGTTCATCCACGAGAGATTTAAACAAAGTCATAATATATTTCAAAAATACACAACAACGCAAGTCATTTGTACGTTATCTCCTAAAACTTGCCGTACAGGCCGGTAGAAAAATGGCAGAGAACGAGATTTGGAGAATACAAGCGAATACATATGAAGGGTGCAAAATAAATACAAGGGATGTCATTTTATTGGCTAATTTGAGAAAGTGTTTACCCACCTCTCGAAGCCCGTCAAAGATTCCAGGGCTAAAACCCGACGAGTCGCCAATTTCCGGCTTGTGGAAAATAAGCCATACCAGATCTATGTCATGAAAATACCAAGACTGTCAAGCATTTCGTTTGTGTTATTCTAAACATGCCAAAAAGTGACCTCACTCGTTTTTCCCTTGCGTTTTTAATATGTCTACACAGCAGGGAAGAGATTAATAATTAATGTTGAGTCTAAAAAAAGGCAACACCCCCAAAAACAAAAAACAACAACACAACAACAACAAACAAAACAAATTTAAAAAAACAAAAACAAATCCTCATATATTTTTAACAGCGCAGTAGGCGTGGTGCTCTCGTGGCCTAGAGGTTAAGGTGTTGGCCTCTCATTCAAAAGGTCCCGGGTTCGAATCCGGGTAGCGACCGAAAAATTTTCTTCTCTAAATTTGTCTCCTTTCACCTCATTTCCTGCTCTCTAGCAATGTTCTGTCATCTGCTTTCGTCTCCTCTTTCTGCTCCCACCCCCTCACCTCCTTTGCCCCTTCCTCTGGGCTCCTGATTCTTTCTGCAGCCTTTCTACTGTTACTCCTTCGCTTCTTCTTACTCCTGTCTTTCAGCCACACCCCTGATCTTCTGGTAGGAAAGATTTACACCTAGCCTTCTCGGACAAGGGTGAAAAATCTCGGAGGTCCCGTTTGCAAGTTGCGCAGGTTAAAGATCCCTTGGTGGTCTAAAATCGATAAGAGTAGGCTTCGGCCGCCACCCGGGCTAAATTCAAAATTTCCTACCAACTGAAAATATTAGGTGTGGCCCGCGCGCTCATATGACCTTATGCAGTTGCGAGCGCCGTAAAACACTTTACAAAAACAAAAAACAGTTCACCACCGGGAAGTAGAAATAGGCTTTCAAGTTGGGTAACTTTGTTTGTTTTGTTTGAGGCCAGCGTTGTAAAATTGGAAAAATGCTTGGAGAATAAAAACTTGTATTATGGGACCTTTTGAATGAGAGGCCAACACTTTAACCTCTAGGCCACGAGAGCCCCGTGGTGAACTGTGGTAACCGCTGTTATAAATGAATTTTTCCTGCAGTTTGCAACCAAATTCAAATGCAGGCGACTGGAAAAGGTGCCTATTCGGAGGGCATTCTAAAGTGCACACTAAATGAAATCCAGTTCTTAATATAATAATACAATGTAAAGGGATCGATATTCTGTGCTCGTACTCGTCAACAACTTCAGACAAGCCTGCCCTGATCCAAAGATTGCACGTAGGGACTGCTCCAAAGATCATACACTACAAGATGGTTAACTTCTCTCTTTGAGCCCATTATTAAAACGCGTCCTTAAAACCCTGTGGCGCCCTCTTCGAAAAAGTGCCCACTTTGCGAACATAGTTAGGCTACCGTATTACATCTATTTGAGTGAAAAAAAAATCAAATCACACTCACTTGCTTTTGAATAAATGTGAGGCAGCGTAGTGGAATCAGGCTCTCGTCAATTTTTGGGAATGTAGAGCTATTGTATTAATCTTAAAGCTTGTTCGCTTGTTTTTATTTGGATGAAAAAATATCCATTTATCTTGAACACAAGTCGAGATATTTGCGAAAGAAGGAGTTGGGGGTCACCTTTTTTTCAGAAATAAAATTAGTGAAAATATGACTGCCAAAGATTTGTTATTTCCTTAGCTTAAGAGTCCGTGGTAACTGAAAATTTACATGTTTCGTGCCTTTAATCAACGTTTTTCAGAAAAATCCACACAGAAATGAGTTCTTTAATGGGCATGAAAGGTGTTGAACCAAAAAACAAAAATTTGATAAAAATTCACAAACCTGTGGAAAAATGCAAGTTTCTTCACTTTGATTATTTGACGAGAGCCTGATTTCACTACGCTGCCTCACAAATTAGAACTCATATTTCGAAAGAGCGCCTGTTTTAAATGGTTACGCTGAAAAAAAGGCCTCTTTTCAAGTAGAAGGGGCGACTGTTTTTTGTTGTCGTTTATTTTGGCTTTAGAATGAGAGCCGAGATGTCATTAATTTTTTTTTTTGCCCAAACTCCGCACTGAGCGAACCCGAACAGCTGATAAGACCAATGAACAGCAGCCATACACTGGCGAGGGGGTGCTGTTCCCGTTCTTCTTCTGGAGAAACGAAACAGCGACATGCGCGGACTTCCTCGGACACCTTTTTGACTGAGTGAACCATCTTGTAGTGTACGATCTTCGGCTGATCTGCACTTTAGTGTACAAAAGAGGGAGGGTAAGGGGTTGAGCCAAGCCCCAACTGCAAACTATCCGTTTATCCGAAGTGTGTGTGTGTGTGTGTGTGTGTGTGTGTGTGTGTGTGTGTGTGTGTGTGTGTGTGTGTGTGACTGTATGAGAGAGTTTACTTTTTGCCAGTGAACAGATATTCTCGTAACAGTTTTTAAAAAACCAGGATAACAGCTCAGAAAGCGGGACTAAGGTGTGAAAATTAAATAGCACCTCCAGTCACGTGTTCGTGCAACGTGCTGTAACGAAATGTTTACGACCATTATAACCGTCGTTCCTACCCACTGGTACAAATACTGTAACGAATGTTGAGTCACGATTCTTCAATTGTCATGCTTTTGAAAGATGATCATGAAAACAAAAAGTATCAGTTTCACTATCAAGGTCAGCACACTCAAAACAGCAGGGAACACCTTCTTACGTACAACATAAATATTTAAGTAAGTTACATCGGTCTGCACCTATTAAAAAAAAAAAAACAACAACAACCCCCCCCCCCCCCGCCCCGGAAGCACACATACACGTACACAGACAATAATGTGCGTGTGTATGGGTAGGTGAGTAAGTGAGTGTGTGTGTGTGTGTCTTTGTGTGTTTGTGTGTGTGTGTGTGTGTGTGGGCGTGTGTGTGTGTGTGTGTGTGTGTGTGTGTGAGAGAGAGAGAGAGAGAGAGAGAGAGAGAGAGAGAGAGAGAGGGAGAGAGAGAGAGAGAGAGAGAGAGAGAGAGAGAGAGAGAGAGAGAGAGAGAGAGAGAGAGAGAGAGAGAGAGAGAGAGAGAGTGGTGTGCGCATGTATACAGATGAAATCGACGATCATATTATTATCTTCTCATTAATTATAATCTCATAGAATAAAACTAATAGATTACGAGTGTTCCTTAGAGACGGTGCTGGGAGTAATACGAAAGTAAGAACGATGTACAAAGAAAAGAACGAGTATTGTAAGAAAATATTAAAGATTCAGTTTCTATAAAATACACGAAAAAGAGATCGAAAAGACCCCGTCCCTACCCTCACTCCCTTTCTTCGAAAACAGGATATTAAAATCTATATCCATGTGAACTTTATTTCATATTGCATCCTATTCACAACACTTTTAAGCTACACAATTCTTAACGAAGAACGTTAATAAACAATATCATAGCACGTGGTTAAAGTTAATAATTCCACAATACCACAGCCCAGCGCTCTGTTTTTTAAACTTGTGTCATTGTGTCTTGCTCAAGGACACATATCAGTGGCCACTGATTAAAGGAAAAGCTCCGGAAAATAAGTCAAATGGGGAAAAAAAGACGGCTACTGTGAGACACAAACCCTGAAGTAGAGTGAACGCTTGCTTGATTTGGTTGAACCTGAATAATCGAAACCGTCGTTTAAGTTTAAGGTACCTTTTCGTTTCTTCTGGAGACCAAAAGGAGAAAGAAGAAGAGACAGACCAACTGGTGGCTTTTTGAGTACACTTTTAGACATGAGCCAATTATCCAGGGGCTTGTTGAGACATGTGAGGCAGCGTAATGGAATCAGGCTCTCGTCAATTTTTGGGAAGGTAGAGCTATTGTATTCATCTTAAAGCTTGTTCGCTTGTCTTTATTTGGATGAAAAAAGTATCAATTTATCTTGAACACAAGTCGAGATATTTGCGAAAGAAGGAGGTGGGGGTCACCTTTTTTCAGAAATAAAATTAGTGAGAAAATGGCTGCCAAAGATTTGTTATTTCCTTAGCTTAAGAGTCCGTGGTAACTGAAAATTTACATGTTTTGTGCCTTTAATCAACGTTTTTCAGAAAAATCCACACAGAAATGAGTTTTTTAATGGGCATGAAAGGTGTTGAACCAAAAAACAAAAATTTGATAAAAATTCATAAACCTGTGGAAAAATGCAAGTTTCTTCACTTTGATTATTTTTAACGAGAGCCTGATTCCACCACGCTGCCTCACAAATTGAAAGAAGTGGCCACGGACAGTGACGTCAGACAAGCGTGGCGCAGACTGCTCTCAGCTTTGTGTACTGGCGGTATAGGGAGAAAGTAAGTAAATACCTTCGTTTATCAAGTGTCCGATTTGTTGCTGGACTATGTTGTTTTAAAAGCAAATTTATTTTAGATTTTAATGCACATGTTGTATGCCTGCTTACGTGGTCAGATATGAGTTGCCCGCTTGATTATTCACAGATAGTACTCTAATTTTGAGCACGTCATTGTTGGGGTGAACCATTTTTTTCTTCTAGAAAGAAGTGCTTTAATAAGTGATAAAAGCTCTTTACCGATTTCATTTTACATCACGAGTCAATAGCATAATAGTGACGATGAATAACCAAATGGTAGGCTACTCCTCAAACTGAGGCATAGGCGCATTGTTGTCACTTTGTCAAAGATCTTGTAGAGCCTGTTTGATATGGCTCCTGGGAATTTCTGATCCGATCCGATCTAAGGAGATTTAGATAAGCAGAAACCTGGAATACATAAATGAGAACAGGCCATGGGCCTTGTTTACCGAGAGGGTCACCAATGCTTGCGTAGACGCTAAAGAAAAAGCAAATTAAAAAACAACCCCCCCCCCCCCAAAGTAAAAAGCCCAACAAATGAAAACTAAGAACAACCCCCCCCCCCCCCCCCAAAAACAACAACCATCAACCAACCAACAAACACCCCCCCCCCCAACAAAATAAAGCAAAACAGAACAAAAACTGCACAACAAACAGAATTAACAAAATTTGAAAGTTTTATATTTTTCTGCGATGTTCCCAATTGGGCAGAGCTTGCTTACCTTATCTATCCCCCGCGCTCACATAAATACATCGCCTCAGATGCTTCACACCCCTAGATAGACGTTTTCGGAGAGCCCTATACGTGAAGCAAAGTTGTTAGAGCCATCAACATGAAAGTGTTCTTGCTCTTTGCTGTTCTGTTTGCATGGGGTAAGTGGACTCTGTAAAGAAACATCATAGAAACATTCAGTGTAAAAGCCAGATTTATAATGAGGTGAGGTTTTGGTTTTTTAATTAATCAATTAATTCATTAATTTATCTATTTAACTGTTTATCTATTTTTGGCCATCACGCCATATAATTAATTAATCCATTAATTTATTTATTTAACTGTTTAGATCTATTTATTTTTGGCCATCGCGTCATTAAAAAAGTTTGAGTATTCTGAGAACACAAAAGTGCTTGCTTTCACGGCAGTGCAGAAGATTTAACTTTCAAGGGGTGCGGGAGGTACGCGGCCCTATATATAGCCTCCTCCCTTGGCCTAGGTAATTTTTTTGTTTAATTCAATAGTTTTGTAGCCGTACAAAAAAAAGCCCAAACGTATTTGCAAATCTTTCAATACTTGTATCGTGCTCCTAGATCGCAAAAAATATATTCTTTAATCAAAGTTGTTTCCCATTTTCTTTGATTCTTTCTCAACTATGCCACATATTGTTTACTTATACTATTAGTTACAGTGCGGTCAGAAATTCGTGGCGCAACTTGCCCTCAAATATCTCTTTAAAGGGTGAACCAATGTCATCCACACTTTGCACAGCAGTTTGTATCAATTTGTCTTAACTTAATCATATCCCCCCCCAAAAAAAAAATAAAAAATTGACGTTAAATTAAAAAACTTTAAATCTCCGTCATGCGAAAGATGGGAGTGTTCACAGCATTTCCCGCTTCTCACACACATTTTACACACGCATATATGGCCTACGTTACAGCTCACCAATGACACTTTTCATAGGCAAAACTTGTTTCAAGTAATTAAAATTGTTTAAGAGAGCACATTTTTAGCACTCATCAGCATCCAGTGCCTTGATAGCAATCATGGACCTCCACTTCCATCTGTCTTGCGTTGCAGCAATGGTGTCTGTTGTTCTTGCTGCTCCCAGCCATGTTGTCAACTTGCCCAGTATCTTTCCCTGTGTCTGCTTCTGCCTCTCCTTCTATCAAACGTGCGTGTTGTTACAATATTCTCCAATGCTTCTTTCCGCCTTGTGTGTCCAATGAAATCTGCCTCTCGTTTTCGAATATTCGTCATCTGCCGTTTGCAATGTGCTTCAACCAAGACTTCTTCATTTGTTTTTCTAGCTGTCAATGGGATACGCAGCACGCGTCTTATGAACAACAACTGTCGTCTCAATTGTTCTTTCCAGCTGTCTAGTGATTTTTGCACTTAAGGTTCTCAAAACATGCTTTCAATAAGTAAAATGTTGCGATTTTTAAAAAAAAGACAGACTTGCTTTTAAATGCGCCCAGCTGTAAACCTTTTAAAATTAGTAGAAACTACCCTCTTGGATTTTTTATTAGTATTTATTTAAGAATTTTCTAAAATACAGCTAACAGGACCAGGTTTTTACAAAAATATTGTTAAAACAATTTTATACAAGTCATTGGGCAAAAGTTGGAGAATCAGTGTTCGATAGTTTATAATCATGTATGTTCGATAGTTAAGGGAATATTTGACAATAAGTTGTGCCATAAATTTTTTACTGCACTTTTGATCAAATAAGTCGTTCTTAAAGATCAAAAGCCTGTCGTTCAATATAAATAACCTCAATTTGAGAAGGAGGGGGGGGGGGGGGGGGGGGGATCTTTTAAGGGCATTCATGTTGTTGTTTTTACCGGGTATTATAGAATATTTTACAAAACCAGAGCTACAACTTAGATCATTTTAGAGGCAGACTCTTTTGCACCATATCCTCTGGCATCTCAGCAGAGAAAATTGAAAGAATATCTTCCTCGCGTTGAACTTGAATCTATGGCGTTTGGGTGCCAAGTGAAAACCTTAACCATCCCACCACAGAGGCCAATATTTCAGGTAGTCACTCACATTTTATAGTTTTATGTCTTTGCTCTTGTCTATATTCCAAGCAAGTCTGCTATGTGTATGAATTTTGGCTTAACCCTATTCGTACGCCCTGGGCTCATTGTGTATCCCCAGGGTTGTATTCTTCACATTTTAGAATACTTCTAGTACAAAGATCTCTTTAAAACTTCAGTATTTCTGAAATAATCATTCTGACAGACTGCTATGCAAAGCGTACGGATCAGATTAACGAGTAAATTTCCTCTTTGAAAGTGGTGGCACAGAGTTCCCCCACGTCGTATGGATACGATAGTAAAACACGACGTACGGATGGGGTTAAGTGGTGGCACAGAGTTCCCCCACGTCGTATGGATACGACAGTAAAACACGACGTACGGATAGGGTTAAGGCCTTGCAAGCCCTAATCTTCAACAGAGATAACTTTTGTTTTCCTTTAATTAAGATCAGTGCATGGTCCAGTGTGACCTTGGCCCCCTTGGTGACCCCGTCCCTGATTCACTTCCCGTCACCTGTCCCAGATGCGACAAAGACCATTCTGTGCCCGGATGTCTGGACCACGAGCACACCTGTCACCACGACGAGGTGACGTAAAGAAACGTTTTTGGGTTTTTTAAAGATGAAATTTTCGTTGTTGTTGTCTTGTTGTTGTTGTTGTTACTGTTGTCGTAAGTGATTTTGTTGATGTTGCTGCTGCTGCTGTTGTTGTTGTTGCTGTTGTTGTTGCTGTGGTTGATGTTGCTGCTGCTGTTGCTGTTGTTGCTGTTGTTGTTGTGGTTGTTGTTGTTACTGTTGTCGTAAGTGATTTTGTTGATGTTGTTGCTGCTGCTGTGGTTGTTGTTGCTATTGTTGTTGCTGTGGTTGATGTTGCTGCTGCTTTTGTTGTTGTTGATGTTGTTGTTGCTGTTGTTGTTGCTGTTGTTGTTGTTGTTGTTGTTGTGGCTGTTGTTGTTACTGTTGTCGTAAGTGATTTTGTTGATGTTGTTGCTGCTGCTGTTGTTGTTGTTGTTGCTGTTGTTGTTGCTGTTGTTGTTGCTGTGGTTGATGTTGCTGCTGCTGTTGCTGTTGTTGCTGTTGTTGTTGTTTTTGTTGTTGTGGTTGTTGTTGTTACTGTTGTCGTAAGTGATTTTGTTGATGTTGTTGCTGCTGTTGTTGTTGTTGTTGTTATTGTTGTTGCTGTGGTTGATGTTGCTGCTGCTGTTGTTGTTGTTGATGTTGTTGTTGCTGTTGTTGTTGTTGTGGCTGTTGTTGTTACTGTTGTCGTAAGTGATTTTGTTGATGTTGTTGCTGCTGCTGTTGTTGTTGTTGTTGCTGTTGTTGTTGCTGTGGTTGATGTTGCTGCTGCTATTGCTGTTGTTGTTGTTGTTGTTGTGGTTGTTGTTGTTACTGTTGTCGTAAGTGATTTTGTTGATGTTGTTGCTGCTGCTGTTGTTGTTGTTGTTATTGTTATTGCTGTGGTTGATGTTGCTGCTGCTGTTGTTGTTGTTGATGTTGTTGTTGTTGTTGTTGTGGTTGTTGTTGTTGTGGTTGTTGTTGTTACTGTTGTCGTAAGTGATTTTGTTTTGTTGTCCTTTCACTATCGTTGTCGTGTTTGCTGGCGTTGTTGTAGTTGCTTCTGTTGCTGCTTCTGCAACTACTGCTCTTGCTGTTGCTGCTGCTGCTGCTGCTGCTGCTGCTTCTGTTGCTGCTGCTGCTGCTGCTGCTGCTGCTGCTGCTGCTGCTGCTGCTGCTGGTTGTAGTCGAAGTTAGGGTGTTGGTGGTAGTGGTATTTTCCTTGTCGTGGTTGTTGCCACTGTTGTTACTACTGTTGTTGGTGCGGCTGCTGTTTTTGTTGTTGTTGTTGTTGTTGCTGTTGTTACTGTTCCTGCTGCTGTTGTTGCTGCTGTTGTTGTTGTTGTTGTTGTTGTTGCTGTTGTTACTGTTCCTGCTGCTGTTGTTGCTGCTGTTGTTGTTGTTGTTGTTGTCGTTGGAGTTGTGATAACGGGTTCTCTGTTTTAGCGTTGTCTTAGTCGAGTGTTATTGATTTTGTCGTTGTTGTTGAGAGTGCTGTTTCTGTCATGTGGAGGATTTGATGTCATCACCAGCAAGTCTTACTTAGTATTACTGTAAACTCTCTGGTCTTACTCTACTTTTCTTTCACCATTTGTGAGGCAGCATTTGCATTTTACCACAGATATGTGAATTTTTATCAAATTTTTGTTTTTTTGGCTCAACACCATTCATTCCCATTAAAGAACTCATTTCTGTGGGGATTTTTCTGAAAAACGTTGATTAAATTCACACAAAATATAAATTTTCAGTTATCAAGGACTCTTATTCTAAGAAATAACTAATCTTTGGCGGCCATTTTCTCACTAATTTTACCTCTGAAAACAGGTGACCCCCCACCTTCTTTATTTGCAAATATCTCGACTTGTATTCAAGATAAATGGATATTTTTTTCATACTAATAAAGACAAGTGAATAAGCTTTAAGATGATACCAATAACTCTACATGCCTCAAAATTGACGAGAGCCTGATTCCACCTCGCTGCCTCACATTTGTTTCTTGCCATGATTTTATTTGTTTGATTACACAAAATCTAAAGTGCTTCCTTCTGCCCTTCTCTTACGATAAATGTTGGATGGACGTTGTCGTTACATTATCCTAGTATGAATGGGTTTGTTTTCCCTGTGTTATGAAATCAACTTCTTCTTCTTCTTTTCGATCGCATCACACTTGAAGTCTGGTATCTGTCATAAATTGGGCCGTCCTGCTCAGTTCATCAGTGGGCCCGTATAGCTTCTCTTGCAGCGTCAGTGGGGTTGGCCAGGTTTCCTGTCTCAGGGCCCTGTGTGTCTTGCAGTGCTGAAGGATGTGTTTCCCCCCACCATAATTATTGTTGATTTCATATAGTGTGAGGGGAAAGGTGGGGGTGTGGGGTGGGGAGTGACGAGCGTAGATGGAAGATGAATCGGGACTGTTGCTCTAAATAATTTTTGTCCTTGTTTTCACTTATGAGCGATAGGACATTAACCCTAATGTGCTGATTGTTTCGAAAGTACACCGCCTAAGTCACACACACTGCCTCAACAGCAACCATTTCGTGTGACGACTCTCCATGAACAACTATAATTATTCTCCTTTTCTTCTTTTCTCCACATGACAGGTTTGTGCCATCAAGTATGGAAGCGATCATCGTCCAGAGTTTCACTGCCGAGAAGCTAAGGTACCATTGACTGAACAAGACAAAACGAAACAAACAAAAACCAAAAAAAATAAAATGATGTTGTTGCTGTTGCTGCTGTTGTTGTTGCTATTGTTGTTGCTGTTGTTGATGTTGCTGCTGCTGTTGTTGTTGTTGCTGTTGTTGTTGTTGTGGTTGTTGTTGTTACTGATGTCGTAACTGATATCATAGAAAATTTTACCCTTACGAAACACGAGCATTTCATAGTTTGAAAGAACTCTTCAATACTTATCAAATAAGGACATTTACTTTTCTGGTACAAGTTCTCACTTTTATTTATGTTTTATTCCCCC